CAACTTGCGCAGAAACCCGGCTCAGAGTACAGACATTGTACCAGGAACCTACGGGAAACACCGGCGATCAGTCTAACTAAGCTAATTTAAAGTGCTAAGATTCGTAATAAAGTGTCTAATTATCAGAATAATATCCAATTGCGTAAGTTCATTCCAACTAGCCGAGGCACCGACACTACCCCACCCACAATTCTGAGTCCGATAGGATCCTGAAAGCGCTATCCGGCAATTGCCTAAGCGTTCTCGGCGAAAGTGGCTGACACGCCCCGTACGGTTCTCTCTCACCTCGATCGCTCCCGTCTTAGGGACTGCCTCCCCGACCCCATTGTCGGTTCCGGAATTCGGAGTCCCGGCAAATTATAAATATTGCTGTAATTTCTGTAATTTCGACCCTGGAGTAGATTGAGAGATGTACCCCAGCCAAGATCGCTTCCTTACAGATGGCGCCCGAGCAGGGACTCCGGGATACCGTTATGTTTTGGGGCACTAAGGGGAACTGTTGATCAGAAAAGTAAGTAGCCGAGGGCATCGGGACTGTACCACGCGCAAGCGCGGCCAGTCGGCATCATTAGGCAAAGAATAGCTGTATATGTAAGCTGTAAAACCGCGCGTAAGGTCGCCCATTATTCACGTACAGCCGAGGCTGGCTTCCCTAACCTCCCTAGAAATAGCGTCAGCACATGGCCGCAGCCCTACACGAGGAGGAGAACGTCGAGGCGGCAGAGAAAGAAAACCGGCAGAGATCGCTAGAAAGAGAGCGGTACGTACGCGGCGAGCAGCGATTCGTGAGCTGCAGAAGCCGAGCAAGCATCGGAAACCTCCCGAAGACCGACCGTACCGAATATATATTTCGGACTAGAAGCCAGAAGAAAGCAGTCAATGCCCGGCCTTCAAAACGATAGCAGTAAATGGCCAGCCTTCAAAGTGATCGGCCAGCGTTTAGCCATCAACACGGGACGGGATTCAACGCTTAAGTCAACGAACCCAGCACGACCAGGACCACAAGGACAACTCCAAAGACAATGATAGCGAGTCAGAAACACGCCCGGCTTTCAAAGCGATCGGTCAGCGCCCAGCCATCAGCACGGAACGGGATTCAGCGCTTAAGTCAACGAACCCAGCACGACGAGGACAACTCCAAGGACAACGATAGCAAAGACGCTTACGGCAACGAACCCAGAACGACCAGGACCACAAGGACAATTCCAAGGGCAACGATAGCAGGGACTATTGACCGGCCTAGCAAGGGTCGATCCCAAGGCAACTTTAAAGACCAACGATAACCACGATCATCGACCAGGACCCCAAGCCGCGACGACGCCAAGGTCGCAACAGCAGGGCGTGCCTCCACGGGGACAACCGTGTTAACCGTACCTACGCCGTGCTGCCGTGACTAGCCCCGAAGACTCCAGTATTCAGTGCGTTACTTAAGGAAAGATTTTCCGGACGGTCAATACGTGATACTACCGCCAGAAACGCGAAAGACCTCTAAGTGCCAGTTCTACCACCGGGCGTCGACATGGGTGTACAGTGGATTTCGTACCGGCGCAAGCACGAACTGCAGGCCATCGCCGCGGAATTCGGCCTCGGTGAAACCGGGACAGTGGTTGCGCAGCCGGATCTCGGCCTTCATCTCGGGCGGTGAGCATCCGACGGCGATCGAAAAACGGATCAAAAAGCTCGGAATGGTCTTCGACAGCGCGCCCAGCCCGAGAAACCCGAGGAACACGTTCCCGTCGCCGGGACCGAGTCACTGAGAGCCGAAGGAAGGGATCTGTACGGGATCAGGGTAACGGGTACGGCGACTCTGGCCAGCTTGAAACCACGACCGACCCACGACACGGTGACGATCACTACTAGCACCGTTTCCCCGAGGAAGTCGGAACATCGCGACCTGGAAGGAAGAAATCTCCTTCGCCGCCCTGGCCGATAAACTGCGCAATTGGGGCCTGAAGTTCGACGGACACTCGGATGCGCTGGCTTTCATCGAACAGTTGGAAGAAAGGGTGGGCTACTAACTGGCAAGGCAGAAGGATGGTTTAGGACGTTCCAGATGCAAGGGAAGCCATGGACCGAGTTCCAGAAAGAGTTCTTGGTGTTCTTCCTACCCCCGCGATACTTTCAGCGCTTGGAAGATACGATCCGCTCCCGTCACCAACGACCCCGAGAAGCCTTTCAGGATTACCTGATCGACCTCCGACACATGATGCAACGAGCTCAGTATACCCCAGACAGGATCTACGAGAACCTTCGGCCGGAGTACCAACTGTTCACATGTAGGCATGAGTTCGAGACGTTACCAGAACTGACCCAGTTGATAGTAGCGTACGAGACAACGCGGGACCGCGAACAAGCGAACAAACCAGAACGCCATCTTACCAAGGACTCAGATTATCACCCCCGCAGCATGCTACTCCAGACGACACCGGGCCCTCCCGGAACGCCGAGACGGCAAGCCGCGTGGCGACACAGGACGTCGTGGACACACCGTCGCCGGAATTGTGGAGAAGAAGGTCATTTCAGCAGTTCATGCAGGAATCGGCGAGTGCTATTCTGTTGGGAGTGTGTAGAGTACCAACTGTTCACATGTAGGCATGAGTTCGAGACGTTACCAGAACTGACCCAGTTGATAGTAGCGTACGAGACAACGCGGGACCGCGAACAAGCGAACAAACCAGAACGCCATCTTACCAAGGACTCAGATTATCCCCCCCGCAGCATGCTACTCCAGACGACACCGGGCCCTCCCGGAACGCCGAGACGGCAAGCCGCGTGGCGACACAGGACGTCGTGGACACACCGTCGCCGGAATTGTGGAGAAGAAGGTCATTTCAGCAGTTCATGCAGGAATCGGCGAGTGCTATTCTGTTGGGAGTGTGGCCTCTCGTTCCAGAGCCAACCGTACCACGGAGAGCCGGCTTCAACGAGGTAGAACCTCCAACAGTTGCCGAGTCTGCTCGGGAGTTCATCCGCGTCTCCCTGTGAGCCGCCCCATCGTAGTAGCCCCGGCGCCGTCCGTAGACTCCCTTCTCCAACATTGGAGCCTCAAAATCCTCCCGACGGCGCTGGTGGTCCTGGATACAGTGGAGAAATATCGATAGTTGTCACCATCGATAGTGGACGAGTTTTTCGAAAAACATCGATAGTCTATCGGTAGTTTTCAATACTGAAATAAGTTACAGAAATTTATTTAAAATTAAATTATTTGTTTTAATAATTACTTATATTATTTCTTTATAAGCCAAAAATTCTTATTACATTACATTACACCAATACACTTTTTTCACTGTTTATAGCGCCAACTAAAAAATATCGAACGCTATCGATAGTGACGAGCCACTATCGATGGAGTCTAGACAGTGCCAAACCATCGATAGTGCCATCGATAGGTCTCCACCTCTAGCTTAGAGCAGAGCTGAAACTGCACTGTTAAGCGGCTAACAGAACTCTGCGCTCTTACGTTCCGTGGCTCATAAGCGAGTTTTTAGTCACGTTTCTATCCCGCTACAAGCTGCCGTCGTGCACATACTCACTCCTACAAATTTAATGTAAAACACGACAATACCTGATTTATAAAAACTTATTAAAACAACTATACCCTGAAGTCTTTTCTTTTCGATATTTTCCCACTCGTCGCTAGATATCAGCTCAACATGAAAAGGAAATTCTGTGTGTAAAACCGATTCTTCCCGCTTTCTTCGGATATCTCAATTTATGACCAGCATTTGTCCGCTTTAATTAATGTTTCTTCCTCGCTATCAGATAAAGATCATATGATAGTTCTTGGTGACTTCAACTTGCCAGGAACTGTTTGGTCTTCGTCAAACGATTCTAATAACCTAGTGCACATGTCGTGACATGACTCTGTTGAAGGCTTGCTTGACCTGTCTCAATTCTTCATGTGAAAAAAGCCTTGGGTAAATTTCTTGATCTGCGCTTTGTCTCGGATCAGACCATAGTGTTGTTAGCCCGAACGATAGATATAGGACTAACTGTATTAGATCGGTCGAGTAGGCTATCTTAATGTGTCCGCTGCTTTCGTAACGCCGAGTTTGCGAAGCTTAATTTTTATTTGTCCGCCTTGTACTTGTGCAGATGTTATAAAAGGCAGAAACATTTTTATACCCGATACTCAAAAAAGTGGATGAAAGAAAATGGATGTGTGTAACGAAGCACTTAAATTTTGTATCCAGACTTCTGTTATATGTCACTGTTACAAGCATATTTCAAAGCTTCGGTCCGCCCTCACAAAAGAACGAAAATCTCTTGCATGCCAAATTTTAAAGATACGAGAAAATCAAAAGCACAAAATCGTGGAGAATGACTATGTTTTTTAGACGGCAGAATCTGAACCAGATTGTATCAATATTATAGCCAAAATGAAGAAAACAATTTCATTCTCTCTATCTCTGTCTCTCTCTCTAACACACGTTTTATTGCCGGCTTTGCTTGTCGCTTAAGATGAATTCCTAGATCTCAGAGGCAGCAACCAAACTTGGTATCCACACTCCTATGATATCACCCCTGCATAAGTGTACTTTGCCCCTTCCCCTTCCACCACCACAAAGGACGAAAGTCTGTGGCATCCACAGATCTCATTCTATTAGAGCTAGAGCAAGCAGACTACCAAGTTTGGATACCAATCCACACTCCTGTTAGATCTCACTGTTACAAGTTTATTTTAAAATTATCGGAACACAGAGGTGGAGCCGGCGACATCAAAGGGATCGACAAATAAATGAGTGGAAAGCACGCCCAAAAAACGCCTCCACATATCAACGTCTCACAGAGATTATAAATTTCTTGTGAACGGGATCTTGGCGGATCGAGTTCGACTTCCCTGGCCAAGTCTATTTCGGGTACACCGACAGCCGGTGGACTACGCTACTGCCTGAGATCTACGCCGATCAATCATCTTCTTGGTGTCGCTTGTATGAATAACTCATTCTGGGTACCGACATTCCCATAAAAAGATCTAAAGAACCAAGAAAACGTAAAAATTCAATGCATTTTCATGGATTATTTATTGCAAAATTTTTGTTGGGACAAATCGTTTATTATTTAAACTTCTATGACTCCAGTTGAATAAACACCGTCCTTTTCACAAACCGTCCGAGCTATAATTGAAAATTTCTCTGTCAGATTTTGATGACGTCTTGAAGTGGCAGTTGTTATGTTCTTCATCGCTCGCTCAGAGGCCTGGAAAAACAAACAAAAAGAAAAAAATTCAAATTACACTTAGTTCTTATAATTAATTTCAAATACACAGCCCCACAAAAAAAAATGCCCTGCGCGGCTGACCAGAGTACCATAGCAGAATAACGAGTCTCAAGCGAATCCGATGTATTCTTCAAATACGTTGTGAGAGGGACCGACGGTATCGGGCCGGCAGTGGCCCAGCGCGTGGCCAAGTATGATCAAGGAGTAGCGCTCTCGGGCGTCTCCATGAGAGATCGGAAACGGCGAGATTGTGACGGCAGCGGCCCAGCGCATAACCATTAAGGTCTTAAAATTACGCCATTGCACATGAGGTGAAATGACCTATTTAGCAGGAGAAAAGCGCATTTTTAAACTGCGGAATTTCAAACAATTTTTTAGCGTAGTTTAGAATTCATTTGGAATTCGCAGCCGAGTCAGAGCCTGAGCAAGCCTCGCTAGCTCGAGGCGAGTAAGGAAAAACTCTTTGTATGCAGAGTAGCGTGTGGCGGTCGTGGCGTACGCCGAGTCAGAACCCATAGCCGTAGCAGCGGGGATACGTCTCGAAGCCTACGATTGACGAGAGCAAATAAGCTAAATATTAAGATACTAATAAACATCAGCAATTACAAATCTGACCTAGGATTCCCCAAAATAAACAGGGTTATTGTACTCTAGTCAAGTGTTGGTGTTAGAAGAGAACGAGGGACACAGCGTCGTCTGAAGGAGATGGGCTCAACGGCAAGGACACCTGCCAAAACGTCACTTCTGAATAATCGAATTATGAAAGCTAGCATAAATTGGTCTAAAGAAAAATCAAATGGGGGTGAATCTGAGTGGTCACGAATCATATTCTCGGATGACACAAATTTAAATCCAATTGGACTCGATGGGTCACGCACAGTTCCCCGCAGAAGAGGAGAATGCCATTCCGAAAATTGCTGCATTGCCACCGTAAAGCATTCGCCTTATATTATGATGTGGAGATACATACCTAAACATAAAACTGAATCACTAATAATGACTAGAGATTTGGTGAATGCAAAAAAGTATGAAGAAATTATGCGAATTGGAGTTGTGCCCAATATGGAATCAGAGATAGAGAAAAAGATCTTATTTTTTAGGACGATTGTCATCGAGCGCACACTGTGATTCTTTAACGTTTTGCTACTTTTAACTAGATTCGACTATTTTTTAACGACAGATTAAACTTTTGAAGGCGAAATCGGACATTAAGTCCTTATATTGGCCAGGTAACAGCCTCGATCACAATCCGATAGGTAAGGTTTACCCCCCTTATGACTGCCAAAATAAAAACGCGGAGCTAAAAACTATGGTTTAGTTAAGAGAAATTATAGAAGATGTTTGGTTTGAGGATATAACGGAAAAATATCTGAAGGCCAAACGATGTGTAGTAAAAGCCAAGGGGGATATTTTAAAATAATCAGGTTTACTTTTCATTTCGTCAACGAAAATGTTTTCGTTTTGAAAACGAATAAATCTTGCGGAATTTGAAAACGGGAGCCCCAATTTATGTGTATTCAAAAGTAAATCGAAAAACTTTTGTGAATATGACAGCAGGTTGTTATTGCAAAAGCACAATTTTTAATTTTTGCCCTTCGAAACTTGGGTAGGATCTTGCCACCCTACCGGTCTAGACTAAATCTAATTGACCTGCCGTAGTTGCTCCATCGCAATATGTAGTGGGGTAATGTTCGTGCACAAGCTCCTTGGGTCAGATTGACTTTGCCGTTCCATCTAGACCAACCCGTACTTTTAGGCCAATCGGCTTACCAATATGTCGGTCTAATTATGCCCAACATCAACCTTTTAGGGTTTTATGTGCCACAACTATAACTCCGTCTGTCACACCTTATGCCCTGAACTATCCCTTAAGCTAATAGCATGTAATATTTATAATCACCTAAATTTAACAAGTTTTAACTTCTCTTCTTTCCTCCTTTTGTAACTAAGTTCCATTATTAGCAGTTAATTCAATAAATAAAAATACTGAAATTTATGTCCACGCGATTAAGCAGATTTTAAGTTGAGCACAAATTGCAGCTTACGACGATCGATGGGAAAGTGTTCAATGTGATTGCAGAAACAGAATCGCAAACATGCGGCATTTGCAAGGCGACGCCCAAAATTATGAACGACTTAGATACCATTAACAGATTACCACGTAGCAATGACTTTCTGCTATTCGGCTTGTCGACCTTGTATAATTGGATTCACATAGATTATCAATAGACCTCGGAGTTTGCATATTTTTAAAGGATTAATATAGAACGAGGGGGAACGTTGTGAGTTGCTGCGGACACCGCAACTCTAGAGTTATACCCGATACTAAGTCAGTATGGCTCTCCTCCGGCAGACGCCGCTAATATTTAACGACACGACAAAGAGTGCGTGCGAGAGAGACAGAAAATCAGTCTGAGCGTGACGTCGGGCGCTGCGTAGCCACTGCAAATTGATTTGTTCCTTTTGGCTATAAAAATGATCTGATCTGATCCAGATTCAGCAATCTAATAGATATGGTCATTATCTATGATTCTGCGTTTTTAGTTTTCTCAAATCTGCAATATTGTGGATGCAACAGATTTTCGTCCTTTGTGGGGGCGGATGGGGGTGGGGCGAAATTCTGAGATATACGTTTTATAGTGACATCTTAAAGGAGTGTGTGTACCAAATTTGGTTACTCTAGCCTTAATAGTCTCTGAGATTTGTGGTTGCCTCAGATTTTCGTCCTTTGCGGGGGTGTGGCGAAATTTGGACATGAAACGGTCAAGGTTCGATATCACAGGAGTGTGGATACCAAATTTGGTTGCTCTGGCTTTTATAGGTTCTGAGATCCTTGAACTCATATTTTGCAATTGGCAAAACCGACCATGAAACCTGTGTGTTAGAGTGAGACAGAGCGAGAAAGAGTGAAATTGTTTTCGTGATTCTGGCTATAATAATTATACGATCTGGTTCAGATTTTGCACTCTAGAAGATATAGTCATCTTCTACGATTCTGCGTTTTTAGTTTTCTCGTATCGTCGAAATTGTGGATGCCACAGATTTTCGCCCTTTGTGGGGGCGGAAGTGGGCGGGGCAAAGTTTTGAAATATTTTTGGAGCAGTGACATATCACAGAAGTCTGGATCCAAAACATCGTTGTTCTAGCTCTTATAGTCTTTGAGCATTAGGCGCTGAAGGGGACGGACAGACGGACAGACGGACGGACGGACAGACAGACAGGGCTCAATCGACTCGGCTATTGATGCTGATCAAGAATATATATACTTTATAGGGTCGGAAACGATTCCTTCTGGACGTTACACACATCCACTTTCACCACAAATCTAATATACCCCAATACTCATTTTGAGTATCGGGTATAAAAATTCTGATGTTCGTTTCATGAAAAGTATATGTTGAGAAATGAGCCTCGTAATTTTTATTTCAATGCTCGTGTATATTACAACTGCCCTATTCATACGCTCATGAGTGTATTGCACCGCTTAGGTAACTATTTTTACGCGCATAGCTGTGTTGTTATTGCTCGTGTCCAAAACATAGCTGTAATGTTCTCACACGTATAGCTAAAGCTATGTGTACCGTTTTGCATTGGACTGTCGCATCGCCTGATATTTCAATTCCCTTTTGGCTCGACTTCTTTTGTGGAGTGTGTAGGCCGTCTAACCCGGGAATTGTAGTGACCAATATCGGTGCGTGAGTGAACTGTCTAGGTATAAAAACACAAGCCCGGCGATTTGATATAACTCTTTTTTATTAGCAAGCTTAGACGCGAGCGAGAGCGTAGGATAGCCCGAGAGCGTTAGAGCTGCTCGGGGACGCTGTTAAGCCGAGTACGAGAGATTGCGACATAAGGAGACGAAAGAATTCCGCTGCATGCGCATATGCGGTAGCAAATGATCTTTGCAGTGGGGGCATTGGAAACGACAACACCAAAATGCATTTCCTTTGGGCCGCACTACTGGCAATATAAAATATTTAAGCTGCTTGACCCGACAATAACCAATATATGAAAATAAATAAGCTCAATATATTAAAAGATTATACAGTCCACTAATTCATAACCAGTAGATTTGAAAATCAGGATTTCTTTTCAAAATTGCTTCAAATTTTTTTTTTTAATCCATTCCAAAATCATTAGTTTCCATTAGTTTAGTCCATTGACGTTTCTAATGGCAGCGCCTTCGTTTTCAATGCTCTTATTATTTCGGCAACTCTCTCGAAGTGGGATTTTATATATATGAATTCTTGATGTAGTTGTGGGTTTTCTACCAGCTCCTTCGCCAGCTTAATGGATTCAGCATCTTCTGGGTTCAGTGTTTCAAGAACCTAAAATGAAAATTTAGAATCTTTTTATTTACCAAACTAAAATTTTTGTTTGTTGACAAACATAGTACCTCTTTTATTTCCTCCATGTTATCTACATAAAATGATGCCGCCTTCAACCATGTACCCCATCTGGTTATGATCGGTTCTGGTGGTAACTCCTTATTGAGTATTTGTTTGTAGCGTTGTACTCTGAGCGGAGCTTTTATGCACATTTTTTCACACAGGATATAAACGAATTAGCGACATGAAACGATGTTCTTACTTTTTCAGCTATTAAATTTAATCCGTGTGCTAAACCAGAAATATGTATGAGATTCGGATACAAAACTTTTACCAGCTTTTGTCATATATGCCGCAGCATCAGTTAAGAGTAACAAAACATTCCCGTGAGGCCACAATATACGAATGCTGTCGTTCACTAATCGAGAAACAGTTGCATTATTTACTTCTTCCAACTGTTTACAGGACAATAAAAATGAGTATGAAGATTCCTTTTCGCTTTATGTTCTTATAATCAAATTTGCGACATATCGCCCTTGCTTATCCGTAGTTTCGTCCACTGATATCCAAACGTTTTCGTCTTTTATACTTTCGCGAATTTTTTGGATAGATTGTTGGTAGGATTTATCGAAGTAACTCTTTCTGAGAGTACTCTCATAAGGAATTTGTTGCCCGGCGTATTTTTTCAGAAAATTATTAAAGGTACCATTGCTAAGCACATTCCATAGTATATTTTCCGCAATCAACTCTGTACAAAAAAGCTGCTTGATGTGTTGCTGGAAGTATGCGCATTTTCGTTGGATGCTTTGGACCTTCTGTGAAGTGCAGTAGCAATATGCTGCTGCAATTGAAATTTTTTTCGCAAGGAATCTAAAACAGTAAAAGTTTTAGAACGTACGCAAAAGACTGAATATTGAAAATTCACCTTTTTGTCACAAGTAGCACAAATTATATAATTTCCAACAGTTTTAAAACACTTTTCGGAAAGGCGGTTAAACCATTTTCCTAACAAATTTCTTTTATACCTGTTGATTTTCGGCATTCCACTACAATTCGCTTCAAAGACTGTAGACAAGTAAAGCAAACGCGCAAATCAATAGCCTAAAATAACGCCAGAGATCAAACTGATAAGAACAGTAACAGTACAGTAAGAGAAAGTAGTATTGCTTCAAAATTTCGATGAAATTCATGTGCATATATTTTGCATATTTTTGGCATATTTTGTTTGCATATATTTTGCATATGTTTTGCATATTTTCGATATGCATTCAAATTCGTTATATTTGACTGATCAAACGTCTAAATAAAAATTTTAGTAACAATCTGATGAAAATATGCAAATATGCAAAATCCGAGGTCTAGCTATCAACTACCAATTTAAAAGTGGTTGATCCGTGCCTCAGATAAAAGCATAGTTTATCAACGAAAGGCAGCTATCAGAGACAGGTTCACAGTCGAAATGTTATTAATAATAAACATTCCCATGCAAGGTTCTGGCAACAGCAATAGTGTTGTTAGAAGATTGTTACGGGTGGAAGGTTTTTTGAAAATTCACAATTGTCTGCTCAAATTACCGAAGTAAACCATGATCTAATAAAAAATATCGGGAATACGCATTGGAAACCGCACAGATTTGTATACAAGAATATCCAAGGTTGTACATGCCTTGCTTTGTACACAAAATACAGAACTTTGTACACGAACGGACAGAACTCGTCTATTAACACTGATCAAGAATATATGTAAATACTTTATCCTCTGCCACCAAAAATCTAAATACTCTTCAAGTGGAGGGTATACAAATACTTTTTGGATACGAAAAATTAAATTTGAAAATTTGTGGAAACAAATATGTGTGAATCGGAAAATGTACGGTAAGCTTCTAGACATCGTAGTACCACGTTCTCGTGCAGACTACATTTTGGAAGATTGTTATTTTATAAAAATGTCTTTAGTCGTTCCGAAGTTATTAATTCAAAAGTTAAATTTTTGCAGCTTAGAATATATGAAACCTTTGCTAGTACCTCAGGAATAGTAGGAATTGTCTGAAAGTAAGAACAGAGAAAGACACGAAGCGTGTTTGTCGTGTCGGCTGTATAGAGCACTCGAGAGAACAGAAAATTCATAATCATAGAGAATGGCCACTTCTACCATATTGTAGAATTTGGATCACTATAAGAATAAGCAAGACCTCCTGAGCCGCCAGTGTGAGCCAAGTGGCTAACTCAATCACCATTGTGATTGACTGAGTATTTGTTATATGAATAGAGTCAAGGTCCTTTGACAAGACTCATAACATTCTAGCTCGTTTTTATTTTTTCAGCTTATTTCATTTTATGTCATATCCACTTACCTGTATGGTTAAAGCTTTAGTTAAGTAAACTTCATGCTGTGCAGTTGGAAGATTTAGATTTAAAGCTCGAGATGATCGTGATTGTGTGACAACCATAGAGTATATATCTATAGCTGCGTTTGCCAGTAGGTTTAATATAAATTGCTCGTTTACTATATTTTTATTGTAGCGTAATAATAGCACTTCAACTGATTGACCAAAAAGGTCTATACATTCTTCAGTTTTCTTGGCATAGGGCTGAAGCTCAGGAGCTACGTGAGAACTTAAATCACAGCCACCTAGACCAACTTTAGATGCAGCACGCTTTGAAGCTTCTTTAAATATTAAGCCCAAATTAGCTGATGGATTCTTAAAAGCACTTTGCAGTTCTTTCAAATGAGATCCTGCGTATTGAATTCCGGTCAGTGCTATAAACAAACGAAGAATGTCATTTGTGCCTTCAAAAATCCGGAAAATTCGTAAATCTCGTAAAACTCGTTCAAGTCCAGCTTCCACCATGAATCCCATACCTCCCAGAATTTGAATAGCCTCGTCGCAAACGTACCAGGCACTTTCACTTGCATATATTTTTGATATAGCGGCTTCTAAATGGTAGTCTTGACTCCCATTGTCCATGTTTTGCGATATAGTAAATGCCATAGATTCTGTGGCATATTGAAGTATGCTCATTTGTGCTAATTTTTCTTGAATAGATCCATAGTTCTTAAGTTTTTGTCCAAATTGGACACGGTTGTTAGCATGAGAAGTGGCAATTTCAATGCATTTCTTCATCGTTCCGGAGAGCGTTGCTCCCATTCCAAAGCGACCATTATTTAAAATATTCATAGCAACCTTAAATCCGTCCCCTTCCTTTCCAAGAATATTTTCAATAGGTATTTTTACGTCCTCAAAGTAAACTTCCGCAGTGTTTGATGCTTTAATTCCCATTTTTTTTTCTGGTGGACCATTTGTAACTCCTCCAAAGGATCGTTCCACAATAAACGCAGTTACCTAATTTGAAAAACAATACAAGTGTAAGTTCGATGTTACAAACTGTTACAAAAAAATTTAAAAACAATCAAATCTAGTTTCGGGGTTTAAAAATTGTACACAAAAGTCAATCATAAGCCGAAAAATGTAACCACTACTATATGTCAAGGACGGTAATCATTATAAACTATATTTTTTTGAAAATACCACAATAAATTCGAAATTTTAATTTTAAGTGAACACTAACACTAGGCAACAAAATCAAACTTTTGTTTACTCCACGAACCAAACCGAATTTTTCTGATAGATCTGGGGGTTTACAAATTAATTAATTGTGTTGCTTTTTCTAAGAAAGGTTTTTTTTTTTAATTTTTCAAAAATGTTGCGTATAGTGCTTCCTTTTTCACATAATGTTAGTATCTTTCATCTTTCAGAAAAAGTTGATAAAAATTATTTCTTGTATTCTTGTATATTTTATTTGATTATGGGCCTTTCCGCGGGTCGCGAAACGCTTTTTCAGTACAAACAAGTTTTTTTATTTTGGCTTAATTTAGTAAAATGCAGAAATTTACGAAACATAACGGTGTATCCTAAAGTGACCAATCATCTTTCTTATAGGAAAAAATATTTGTACTATAAAAATACCAAAAATTCGGTATTTTTGGTATAAGAGAAATTTGGCTTATTTGAATACGTTTTCAAATCAAAGTTAATAAAATTACATGCCAATTAGTTAAATTAGTTATTCAGTTTAGAACCTAATATCGGGACACAGGTATATGCAACTGGGTTTCATTTAGCTTTTAATTATTTGGTTGTTGGTGAACTTTTCCACGGAAATGCCATTCTGGCAAACAAAAACAGCTGCCCTCGTTGCTTCAAAAATATACACCGTGATAAAAATTTATTTTTTCATTTGCTTATTTGGAAGCAATACTATTGCAGAAAGTGCGCGATTTAAGAAGATCAAGACATCTTGTATGCAACACTTCTGTATTTAACATGCCTGACGCGCTGCGAGTAACAGCATGAATGTATTTCTTGCCAACGTTCCGACAACCAAATCAGACTGCATTAACTGTTTTCACGAAAACGTAAAGTGTTGTTGCCCTGACCAATTATTGTCGAGGTTGGTTTAAGAAAAAATTATTTGTAAAAGCACAAGCTAAATTTCCCTGGTAATGCTGTCAAATGTTAATGCATCAATAAGTCTTCTATTTTTTTCCTTTTGCAATTAAGATTAGTTTTGTTGTTTTTCTGTTTACTTTTAATTTCAAAATCTTGCGGAATGTAAAAACGGGGGCACCAACTTATGTTATTTCAAAAGTAAATCGGACAAATTTTGTGAAATTGAAAACCGAGAAATAAAACATGAAATCTGTTGAGTATTTCAAAAATACCCTCTTACGAAAATTAATCAAAACATGTCGGATGACAAAAAGATATGTAATAATAATATTTAACAGAAAATTGTTGACTGCCTTTTTGTATAAGCAACTGACATAAGGAATGTGGATTTTCGAAAGACGAAATATGCAATTTGTTGAGCGTAATGAATAATAATACTTATGTAAAATTAATTATTTCTTAAATATACATGAAAACGCAGCGCGCCCTTGACATGAAGCTTAATGTAATCTCAATGAGAACTGTTTGCATTGAAATGTTTTGTTAATTTTATAATACATTTTTCCGGACTGTTACAAAAGTGTTCCTTATTCATAAGATTAAAAAAGTAAGATTTTAAATTAAAACAATTTTACCTTGTCTTTCTTTTCACCTGTTTTTAAATCCACGAGTTCAGTCTGCGCGAAAACAGTCATAATATCAGCTATTCCACCATTGGATATCCAGATTTTGGAACCGTTTAGCACATAGTATTTTTTATCGTCACTTTTTACTGCACGGGATCGAATTGATCCTGCGTCCGAGCCGGAAGATGGCTCAGTGAGTGCAAATGCAGCGTATACATGTTCGGTGGATACTTTTGGTAAGTATTTTTCCTTTTGTTCAGGTGTTCCATACAAAAGAATTCCTTTGAATCCGATACTTTGGTGTGCGCCGATCGTTATTCCAAGTCCTAAATCGTTGGCACCAACTATTTCACAAAGTCTTCCATACTGCGTATTATTCAGACCCAAACCACCAAAATTCGGGGGCTATGTTATAAAGAAAAATAACGAAAAAATACGATTATTTTATTCATATTTTGATAAAAAATTAATTAAATTCAATTTTTGTAATATTTCATAGTACACTGAAAACATGTTTTAAGAGCTGAAAGCTTTAATAATTCTACATAGTGATACATAGCGGTACAAAAAATCTTGGAATTGAACCCACTTTTTGCTTCTCCGAATATCAAATTTTTGTTAAATGCAATTGTTTGTTTTTCTATGATTATTGTTTATATGGGCATTTCCGGGAAAAAGTCCTCCAAACCAAATAATTAAAAGTTAATATAAACTCATATTAATATACTTTTGTTCCGATACTATTTTCCAAACTGAATAAAACTTAACAGTTTTAAGCAATTGACGACTAACCAGGCAGTGCTCGTTCTCAATAAATTGTCGCTGGCCTTGATAGAGGCAGCAAAAGGCGAGCTTAACTTCGGCTTCAGCTCGGTCCCCATCAAGGTGTACAAAGCGGACGCGGCGGCCGCGGCGCTTTCTGTCGTCAACCCAGACGTGCAGGATGTCGCTACGGAGCTCGATGCGCCTGAGGACGAGCTGGAGCCAGACCAGGAAGGCTTCTCTTCGGAGACGGAGCTGATGCTCGACTTTGAGTCAATGTGCCAGAAGATAGTCTCAGACGACTCGGACGCAGACATCACGGTGGTGGAGAATATTGAAGATGGTCCTAAGGATCCTTCAAATAAATCTCCAACACTGAAGCGGCATCGGAGCCGACGTAGTCCTGATCCAGGAGCCTTGGGTGGTAGGAAGCCAGTTCTGTGGATTGGGGACGATGGAATACAAGATCATTGTATCCCAAAATGAAGGTAAAATCCGTACCTGCATACTTGCGAGAAAGCACTTAAATATATTTCTGCTCCATAATTATAGCGATGGCGATAACACGGCGGCAAGCCTAGAGCTAAACGGGAATCATCTCAGGCTGGTGGCGTCCTATATGGCCCACGAGGAGGATTATCCTCCCAACAACCTTGTTCGCAAAATAGCCAGCGACAGCGAAAGGACGGACAAAGACCTACTTATAGGTTGCGATGTCAACGCCCACCACACCCAATGGGGGAGCAAGGACACGAATGTAAGGGGTGAGTCACTGTTCAGCTTTATCCTGAACTCAAATTTATTCATTTGCAACTGCTAGACACAATCAAGAGCTGGAAAGTCCTAGGAGACCACTCCTTCTCAGACCACAGGTATATCGAGACGATATTATCCTTCGAGATCCCCAAACCCACCAACCCATGGCAGTCAATAAGATTCTATGCGACCTGGAAGAGGGGGCTGTAAAGTGGTGGCATACGCGGACGACGTTGCAATTATCTTCGCGGGGAAATACCCCCAAACACTATGCGACCTAATGACCGCAAAGCTTGCTCGATTGTCCGTATGGACAGAATCGCGCGGATTGGGACTAATTCCCTCGAAAACGGAACTCGTGTTATTCACAAAAAAATACAAGGTCCCGCCCCTCAACCCCCCAATACTAAATGGATACAGGCTCTCCTTCAGCGACAGTGCCAGTTACTTAGGGTTGGTAATTGACAAAAAGCTTAACTGGAACCTGAATGTCAAGGATAGGGTGAAGAAGGCAACAACAGCATTCTACACTTGCAAAAAAGCTATCGGCCTAAAGTGGAACATAGTCCTATGGATATATCTGGCAATAGTCAGACCTATAATACTTTACTTAGTTACTGTCTGGTGGCCTGCCCTAACAAAAAGGACGATCACCAATCAGCTGAGCAAGGTTCAGCGAACGGCCGCCCTCTGCATTAGTGGAGCTCTTAGAACTACACCAAATGATGCGCTAAACGCCATGTTATGCCTCTAGAGCCTTGACCTTGCAGGGAAGGAGCGGGCAGAAATGGCAGCAATACGTCTTAGGGACTCTGAACAATGGGTACCTCAACATATAGGTCACTCATCAGATCACTAAAAACAACATGGTCCCAGCAAGAACGGACTATCAAGTTCCAAGGGAGCACACGGCGACTCCATTCAGCACAATCATAGAGACGAATGGCTCGAGGGACTCCCCGGCCCAGACGGGGCCAAAAGCATCTTCACGGATGGCTCAAAGCTGGACGGCAGGGTTGGAGGAGGAATCTACTCTGAACAGCTAAACATAAGGCAATCTTTCAGGCTGTAGCGTCTTTTAAGCGGAAGTTACAGCAATCAGGGAGGCTCTGTACTGCCTTCACACGATTACCGCCACGGCAACCAATCTAAACATCTACAGCGATAGCCAAGCTGCAATCAGATCACTTAACGCGATCTCCTCGAACTCGCCTACTGTGGCGAAGTGCCGCAGATCTCGTCACGAGATGGCTCAGCAATTTGCTATCAGCCTTATATGGGTCCCGGGCCACCGGGACATCGAGGGCAACTGCATAGCGGACGAGCTGGCCTGATGCACTACTACTACGACCCGCCTTCTCCAAGATAAGGAGGATATTTGTATGCCTATGGCCACCTGCAAGCTCATCATAAAAGAGCAGTACATGCGACTAACAGACAACAAATGACAAATAGGGCCACGTTGTCGCACAGCTCGGCAAACATGGCCGACCATAGATAAGAAGCGAACCGCAGAGCTCGGCAAACTAGGCAGGGAAAGGTGCAGCGCAGTCATGCGTTCCCTCACAGGACACTGGCTAGTAGGCACCCATGCAAGTAGGCTGGGCGCCCCATACAATGATTTCTGTCGCAGCTGCAGAGACGAGGACGAGGAGGAGACAGTGGAACACCTGTTCTGTTCCTGTACAGCGCTCAGCAGAAGGAGGCTACAACACTTGGGCTCTGCCTTTCTGAACGACATCTCAGAGATGTCTACATTATGTCCCAGAAAGATCGCAAACTTTATAAGAGCATCGGGATGGGACAACTGTTGACATGAAATCTCACTTGCAGGGAGGGAATGATCCCAAGCCGTATCACAACGGGCCGAAACCGGCCTAAGTGTTCCGGGCTCCGAGGGAGCTTGGCAGCCGGCTCTACCTAACCTAATGCTCGATATTTCATTTAGCGTACGTTCGGGAACATTTATTCATTACTACTAAGCATAGAGCTAACCAAATCATATCGAATTGCAAAAAAAATATTGGGAAATGTCGTGGAAATGCCCATATGTAGTAACTTAAGTTTAAAGAAATTTTCAATTCAATCAGCTCCCAAAACAGTTATGCTACATTTGAAAACAGAAACAGTATAATATAAAATACTTGTTCATTTTATGATACTGCGTTTTTCTTTTTCTCGTATCTTTAAATATGTGGATATCACAGATTTTCGGGGATTTTATAGGTGCAGAAGGGGGTGTGAAAAATGTTGAAATGCACTTGGTTCAGTCTGATATCAAAGAAGTTTGCTAACATAAGCAGGATTTTCAAGCTCTTTTAGTCTCTGAGGTCTAGATGTTGCGGAAGAACGGACTGACGGACGAACATGGCTATATTCACGCGGCTATTGATGTTTTATGTACATATTTCCATTATTTCATTCTAACGCCAAAACAGAATTGTTCGGTCAAACTCCCTTAAGGAACAAAGTACTCAAATGACCCTCGTAAAATAGAGAGCCTACGCTCCCTTTTTTGTATTTACTCTCACCATTATTGTAATAAATTCACCACTGTATTCTCTCTCTTATGCCCAGTGCTCAAGCCCTAAGATTTGTAATAAATAGTTATTGCCTAATGCTCAACTGGGTCGATCGACTTTTCGTTTTCATATATAGACTTAAATTTGTGAATTAACATGAATGCGGAAAACGCTCCGAGTATAAACAAAAATGTTGTGTATATTTTAGGATCGATATAATGAGAAAACTTGTACTTTTCGTTAAATTATAGTTGTAATCGTTCATTCTCTTTCGTAGATCAGACGCGTTTTTTCCGCATATTTTCCCTTTGTTTTACATAAAAAACCGGTGTGTTCTTAAATAAACATTAAATACCTTCCTAACTCACCTACTATCTGGAAATCTATTCTATTCCGCGAGTGCATGCCTTTTGATTTGTGTTTAATTATTATTTATTAAACTTAAAATTGTTCGGCGTCGGGTTGTTATGTTTGTGTTGTTGACGTGAGTAAATTACATTGCATTACAGCTCTCGTCTCTCGTCTTGCAGCTTTTGTTGTTTTATCACTCTCCCGTTATCACCTCAACTTCAATAACTGTTCTTTCTCTCTCTCTTTAAACTTTCTGAGCAATAGCGCTCTCTACTCAGTACCGCTCGCTATAACCGCTCTCCACTCTGCTCTCAATTTTTACCAATTCCACTTTGAGCGTCGTCTGGCACATTGGTCTGATACCAATTTCTTTTTGGAAATTTTCTTTTTTTTCGTAAATTTTCTTGAGCAAATAAATAAATAATAAAAATGGACTACGCTGTGGTCTGCGCCAAGAAAACCTGTAAGAAGCAGATCACTTACGATTAGCCGAATGTCCCCTGCTGGCTCTGCGACAGCGTAGAGCACGCAAAATGCGCTGGATTTTCTGGCGTCGTGAGTGATGCTATAGCTAAACTTAACGGGTTGCGAGGCATGCCGTGCGGTGGAGAGTGACATGGTCATATTTATGAGGAAGACGCGGAAGGGCTTTAAGGAGCTGACCGTTGGCTTTAAAAAGCAATACGATCGGCTCCTAGCCATGGAGTCTCAATTTGGCAGTCTGCAACTGCTGAATGAGTCTCCGAGGCGTAAAAAGGTCACTCCGCGGGATCTGCAAGTGCTACCCGTCACTCAGCCACAGCTACTAGGCCTGTGGTGACTAAACCACTGGTGGGAGTCCCACCAAAACGACAAGTTTTTGTTTCACGGATGGCCCCTGACCTCACATATAATGATGTAATTGCTTTTATTCAAAGCAAAATAAAAGCCGTGGGTTTAAAAGTGGAAAAATTCAACTTCTCTTATGACAGGGAGATAGACTCGTTTAGGATAAGCACCTCCCCAACTCAATTTGACACCATTTGCTCCGAAAAATTTTGGCCGGAGCATTTGGTGGTGAAGGAGTTTAAGGCTAAGAAGAAGAATAGGCTCCCCATATCCCTTACAAATCTTTCCAGTGTGCCACCCTCAACCTAAACTTCCCGTCTTGCTTTCCAAAAAACAAACTTCTCTTTTAGTAACCTATCAGAATGTAAGAAGCTTGCGTAGTAAACTCAGCATTCTTTTCCGAGATAGTGTTGCATTTGCTTCCCACGTTATTGTGTTTACTGAAACCTGGTTAAAGCCGGACATTCTTAGTGCAGGGGGGGTTCTAATTGCAGTGGACTCTTACTTCACGTCGGAACACTTCACAGTCCAAGTTCAACAGGAACTGGAATTCCTGTGTGTAAAACTGATTCTTCCCGCTTTCGCTATATTCATTACTTATATATAAGTAATCGTATATCCCCCCTTCTTCGGATATTTCAATTTATGAGCAGCACTTGTCCGCTTTAACCGATGTTTCTTCCTCGCTATCTGATAAAGATCGTATGATAGTTCTTGGTGACTTCAACTTGCCAGGAACTGTTTGGTCTTCGGTAAACGAGTCTAGTATCCTAGTGCCCATGTCACGACATGACTTTGTTGACGGCTTGCTTGACATGTCCCTGTCTCAAGTCAATCATGTGAAAAATTCTTTGGGTCGATTGCTTGATCTATGCTTTGTATCGGATCCAACCATAGTGTTGTTAACCCGAGCCCTTCCGCCCACTATACCTGAAGACGCCTACCATCCTACTTTCGAAGTGTCGCTAGATATTGGACCAACTGTATTGGATCGGTCGAGTAGACTACCTGAACGTGTCCGCTGCTTTCGTAAAGCCGAGTTTGCGAAGCTTAATAACCTAATTAGGAATTTTGATTGGTCTGCTTTGTACTTGTGCACTGATGTCACAAAAGGCACAAACATTTTTTACAATGCTCTTGGCACACTTTGAGATTTTTGTGTCCCGCTTTCTTGTCCGATTAGATCTGGAAAACCCCCTTGGTTTAGCAAAGAGCTATCCAGTCTAAAAAACTTAAAATCAAGACTTAATAAAAAATTTCAAGAAGTGGGCTCTCCTCCTTCTCACTTTCGTTATGTAACAGCTCGGTCAAACTTTTCTCAGTGCACAATGCTATAAGAACAACCTATCTCGATGCAGGATACGTTTTTCTCAGGACCCTAAACAGTTTTACTGCTTCGTAAACAGTAAGCGTAGAACGTCCGCACACCCATCCTCGCTATCATTTTGTAATACGTCGACAAATAATGATCAGGCAATTGCCGATCTTTTTGCCCAGTTTTTCCAAACCACCTATTCTGAGGAAAGCTACTCTGGTCAACCGTACCCATACGGATTACCGAGGTCGAACGGCATTTTCAGTCCCTTGTTAAATGAATATTCCCTACTTCATGATCTTCGACTAGTTAAGCCGGTGTTTTCACCGGGTCCAGACGGGGTTCCAGGTTGTGCACTCAGGTACTGCGCCGAGGCTCTGTGTGGACCATTGCTTAAACTATTCACCCTGTCCATTGATTCCTCTTGCTTCCCCCCAATCTGGAAGGAATCGTTTATAATTCCTCTCCATAAAAAAGGTAGCAAGTCTGATGCAAAAAATTATAGAGGTATAGCAAAGTTATCCGCTATTCCCAAATTGTTTGAGAAGGTTTTAACTCCGCACTTGCAACATCTCTGCAAGTCACTTATATCTCCAACTCAGCATGGATTTATAAGGCGGCGATCAACCACCACGAACTTGTTAGAGTTTACCTCTTTCATTATTAAAGGCTTTCAAGGTAACTTACAGACGGATGTTATTTACACCGACTTTATTAAAGCATTCGACTCTGTAAACCATTCCCTTTTAGCACATAAACTTGACCTTTTAGGGTTTCCGCCCAACCTCCTGAGATGGATTTCTAGATATCTTTGTTCTAGGTCTCAAAGAGTCCTCTTCAAAAACTCTACCAGTAAAGGTTTCTTCGGGAGTACCACAGGGCAGCCATCTAGGCCCCTTACTCTGACTTGCCTTCAGTATTAACATACTCTCGAGTACTTATGTATGCGGATGATCTTAAACTCTGTGTCCAGTACAAGGACATTTCATTTCATTCTCGCTTGCAATCCGATCTCAATAGCTTTCAGTCATGGTGTTGTGCAAAATTGTTACACCTTAATGCCTCGAAATGCAAAGTTATGACATTTCATCGTTCTAGCCCTTTGTTGGCTCCATACACCCTATTTGGGGGTTCTCTTGAGAGAATTACCCTGGTGATTGATCTGGGTGTTATGTTAGACCCCAAGTTAAAGTTTTCCGAACACATTTCTACCATGGTAAATAAGGCCATGGGAGTGCTTGGGTTTATAAAGAGGTGGTCAAAGGAATGCCTCGACCCCTATATAACAAAGACTCTATACCTCGCTTGTTCGTCCGATCTTAGAATACGGCTCCTGTATATGGTGCCCTCAGTACAAAGTACACCAGGACCGTATAGAATCAGTACAGAAAAACTTTTTACTCTTTGCTCTGCGGGGCCTTAACTGGGATGCGGGTGTGAGACTCCCATCATACTCTAGTAGACTACTATTAGTAATCCTCCCATCCTTAGTTTACCGTAGAAAAATGCTTGCTGTGATATTTATGCACAGCTTGATCAGGGGTGACATAGAAAGCCCTCATCTGTTGAGCCACATAATCTTCACGATTCCTATTAGACTGACTAGAAATTTTATACCGTTGTTCCTTCCACTTTGTAGATCGAATTATTCCTTGCATGAACCGTTTAGGGCCTTATGCTCGGATTATAATTCCCTCTACCATATTATATCCACCACTAAATTTCTTCCTCTTATTAAATTACTAGTCCTTACACACCTTTCTAGTAATTAGTAATTGTAGTGGTATTTGTATTTTGATTGCATGCTTAGTTTCTTAGTAAGTTTAGTGCTAATTTTCCTCGAACGTTAGTCTAACAGCTATCTTTCTTGCATGCTCGCGTTCGGCTCGGCTACGCGCCGCGCGTTATGCGGCAGCGCCCCTCGGTCGGTTGGGCGGGAAGAGGGCTGCGTTTTGCCTGGGATCCGCGCGTAACAGCCTTCCGCTGGTTTCACACGGGCCACTTGACGGTGCAGTAGCTGCATCGCGTCTTGAAAGATGCAGTCATTGCATGTCAACGTCCAAAGATAATAATTCTATTTAAAATCCACATCAAACATTCTAATCTACTTATTATTACGCGGTACTCAAATATTATTATAATCTATACTATATCTGCGATTTCCAAACTTTCATTGTATTGGTTTGTTTGATGGCATATTAATTGTTTATGTTATGTTAATTTAAATGTTTTACTTTGTTTTCTGGCTTTAACTTATTACGGGTGAAATTTTCGAGATGAACTTTCGCAGTCTAATATTCTTTCGGCTATTGATGCTGATCAAAAATATATATTCTTTATAGGGTCGGAACGTTTCCTTCTGGACGTTACACACATCCTTTCACCACAAATATAATATACCCCTATAGGCTATTCACACTGACGACCATCGACCATCCATTTCGGGGATGGTCCGTAAGGTTTTGCCGTTCTGAAAATTTCTCAGTTAGTCCGCCATCCATTTTGGATGTTCCTAAACCGCACGTTTCTATGCGATAGTTAGCCGATGGTTTTCAAATGCAACTCTGAATAATTGTCACTCACAACGAAAAAATGGTAATCACTGCGAAAACGTAAACAATGATTGTGACAAAATAAACAAAAAACAACAACAATCATGCTCAATGGCTCGGATGCATTCAAGGCTGGCGATGAGATTGAATGCGGCATGGCCGAGTCTGCCAGGCTGAAGTTGCAAGTGTGTGGCGAATAAATGGCAGACGACTGCCAACATAGAACAAATATTGGTATGCTCTGTAATTGCTTTGATGTGCATAATTTATTCTTTAATAGTGAGTTTTTTTCGAACATTATCGAGTCGAATCTGGACGGATCATGTAGCTCCAGCAGAAGGACCTTCACAGGAAGAAGGAAGAACATGATATGAGGCAGGAAAAGATAGCCTCATCCACACGCAAAAAAATTCCAGAATGATTTATTGGAAGTGCTGAGAAATATAAATAAATAAGTATTTGCATTATGGTCTAAACAATATTTTGCGATTGCAGATCGTATCTGTTCTGCTGACTGATTAAAATCACCAGAACTGTTGCTGTTATCGGGCTGTTCGCATATTTTGCTGTTGAAACACGGCCGAAATAATTGCTACATCTTCATCATCCATTATAAGAACCAAAAATTAATAAATCTTCCGCGCAAATTTAATGCACTTGTTATTGGCATTAGCTGTTTTTGACGGATGGTGGATGGTGCCAGTGTGAATCGGAGTTTCACATCTGTCAAAAAATCCCACCATTCCCCCGGGATGGACTCAGTGTGCAAAGCCTACTAGACTCCTTATGAGTATCGGGTATAAACATATTCAACTTAGTATTATAAAGTTCCTAGACATCTTAGGATGTCTTTATCAAATTGTTTTTCTATAAAAAACCAAGCTAGCTGTTTTTGTTTTTTAACAGAATTTTGCGTAAGCGGGAACATGTATAAAAACGCGAAACCCGGCTCCCCCTGAATATATTCAAGAAACTTTTTGAGCTTGTCTCAGAAAAACGGACATATCAGAAACTATTAAATGTTGTATGTTGTAATTGTATTGTTGTATGTTGCTATATACATTTTTCACGAAATCTGTTGTAATTTAAAACTATCAAGCTTTCAAATATATTACCACTTGTAATGCGAATGCACCCAGTTCCCATAACGCGGAGAGGATTTTTTCGTCTACTTTTCCAGACTCATCACTTTGGGCAGCATCATTAATTTCCTTAAATGAGTAAAGTTGTACTGAATGTTTAATATGTAAAGTAATATACATACAGAAAAGAAACGTTCAAAAGGGCCTATTAGACTGCAAGTCGATTCCTTTTGTTCCAGGCTTAGCACATCGGGATATGGAAAAACTTGCTTGGGAACTAAGGACCGACGAAAAATATTAGCCATGAAAGATTCATTCTCCTTTACAGAAAATTGTTTTGAATCACGGTTTGTGCTTAGTTTGAAGTCACCAACTGAAAGCCGTCTGGAAGTAATAAATATATAATATAATATAAATATACTAGGTGATCCGGCAAACATTGTTTTGCCATGTATATTATTTCTAGGAAACATTTTTTTCAGTTCAATAAAAATAACTTTCTACTATAAGTATGCAGGGATTTACTTATCAAATATAAGATTACTTAACAATAGAATTTGGTTCTGTACTGATAAGTAAACCGTGCAATAGTTTAAGTGGTGTTTCAATTTCGATTGTTTGTACTTTTCCTGATCTCTCTGAACTCATCCCAACTGGCTCATTTTTAAATTTGAGTGCATGACAATGCGGGCCTTCCTTTTCAAAAGTACCAATAACCTCTTTTGAACGAGCATAGTATTCAATATCAGGCTCACACTGGAATGCTAGTCGAAAAAACATTTTTTATGTAAATGCTCGATGAAATTGTTGGCTTTTTTGGTCAATTCCTCTACGTTTGTTGCATTGTTGGTCACTCTCCGTTCTAGTTGCCTTTGTTCATTTCGTTCATCTCGGGCCTCTTGCGATTGTGATTCACGTAACTGCGCCATGCTCAAGCGCTCATTTGCATTGTTTTCTTTGATTTGTTCACCTGAAATTCGTACTCTTATATCTCGCATGGTTCTAGACTTGATGGTTTGACGACTCAAATTGGCCCATCTGCGACTTATTGGCACTTCTCCGAAATGGCTCGACCGATTTTCTTGAAATCGAGCGACATTCATGCTGTCCTACAAAGACCCAGTTAAAGTCGTTAGCCGAGGGGATTGAGCAGAGGCTTTGTTACTATTCAATCTTTCCGGAATTCCGGCCAGCCAAGGCGCGGAAACGGCGCGGCCAAGGCCCCTAACAAGCGGCAACTCTCAGCGGAGGATCCAGCTACACAGACAAGCCCAACAAGCCAAGCGGGTGAAAACCCACCTGGTGAACTAGTTCTTAGCTTAGGTGGCGAGGGGCAAGTCCCCAGGGGCACTCGGGGCACCCAGGGACAAGTGGACAGGAAAACGAGCTCCAAGACAGATTCCTGCAGATGCTGGAAAATGACGGACCACCGTCTACGTGTGAGGATGCTGGGTGGCATGAAGGCAAGGTGAAAGCGGAGAGCAAGTCCCCAGGGGCACTCGGGGCACCCAGGGGCAAGTGGACAGGGGCGCCGAGGACAGTCATGTCCCTCGGGACAAATGGCACTTGGTGGAAAACGAGCTCCAAGACAGATTCCTGCAGATACTGGAAAATGACGGACCACCGTCAACGTGTGAGGATGCTGGGTGGCATGAAGGCAAGGTGAAAGCGAAGAGCAAGTCCCCAGGGTCACTCGGGGCACCCAGGGCCAAGTGGACAGGGGCGCCGAGGACAGTCATGTCCCTCGGGACAAATGGCACTTGGTGGAAAACGAGCTCCAAGACAGATTCCTGCAGGTGCTGGACAATGACGGACCACCGTCAAACTGTGAGGATGTTGGGTGGCATGAAGGCAAGGTGAAAGCCATCGTCTGCCAAGACGCTCGCTCTGCTAGAGGCTGTTAAATGGGAAGATGTTCCCAGCAGACTGAGAGCCAGAGCATGGGTCTCGGAGAAGCCTCATAGCCGGAGAAGATCCTTAGGCTACTGCAAATCTGCAATCGCCAACTTCTTACCGCCGATTGGTTGGAGGATGTAACAGGACAGAGGTGTCAAATCATCCTCGTCCTAAACGTGAAGTCGCTGGAGCTCCTCACTTAAACAGACGGAATAGTAGATTACGGCTACATAATGGTTCTCATATCCTCCTAAAAGTGTGACTCTAGAGGTAGGCATGCGGAGGTCGACTCAGACCCGCAGCTATCTGTGATTCGCAAGGGGGAGGCCCCGACAACGGCCCCCAAACCGGCTCCGGATGTGTCGTTCGTGTCCGACGAACAGGGGTCTAAGTCACATCGATGTCGTGGAATAGGTGGAGTCCCCCGATAGCGACGTCGAAAAAACAATGGTGGAGTTGAAAGTCATTTAGGAATGTCACACTCTTGCCGACAAACCTCCACCATTATTAGGCAGCATGCGCTGCTCTACTGTTCCCCCTAGCCAAGGGTGCCCTGAATCCTCGGAAACTGGGTCTACAGTCTGAGGACTAAAATTTCTACCTTCACATATAGAGGTCCTGACCAAGCTGATCGCTCCCTACGCGCCCCTCCGAGCGCTAATAGCAGACTGCGGGGCCAAGGACATCGGCCTAATTGCAGAATACGACGCCAACGCAAATCCTTGCAGGTAGAAAAGCACTGATACAAAAATTAAAGGTGAGTAACTTTTCAGTTATCTACTGACCACTCATATGGTCTTAGAAAGTGATACCACCTTTATTATTAAGAATCGTAAGGAGGTCATGTACCTCACTTTTGCCTCTCACGAGATAAAAGGGAAAATTGTATCCTGACGGGTCTTCGAAGAACACTCTTTCTCGGACCATAGGAACGTTGAAACTGTATTCTCTTTTTCACTACCGAAACCAGTTCCCTTTCCTCTCTAAGTCTCCACCTAGCCAGGAGTTTTTCAGGGAGGCCACGACCCACGCACCGTCGTCATAAAGTATCGCTCTCGGTCGATTGGGCGGGAGGAAGACTGCCTTTAGCGCATCCGCGCGTAACAGCCCTCTGTTGGTGTCACGGGCCACTTGATGGTGCAGTAATTGGATCGCCACTTGTAAGATGCAGTCATTGTATATCAACGTCCAATTAAAAAATATCAATTCTGTCGAAACTCAAAGCTGTTACTTAAACCTAGCCGCAGTATACTGTCCACCGCGCTTCCCCGTTTCCGAAGCAGAATTTTTAAAGCACATAGCAAAAAGAAGCACATAGATCACCTGCCCCGAAGGAGCGGTTAAAAATAGCCAGCCAACCAAACCGAATGGAATGCTTGGCTAAAATCAGTGTAAAGAACATCCGTCTGTAAGTTTCCTTGAAAGCCTTTAATGCTAAAAGAAGCGAACTCTAGCATATTTGTAGTAGTTGATCGTCGCTTTATAAATCTATGCTAACCTTCTGCCAGCCAATTATGATTTTCACATTGTCTATGTATATCGGGAAATATGTTATCGATGAGAGTATATTGCGAGGCGATGATTGTGCAGAGGTCCGTCTGTAATTTTATGCATCAACTTTCCCATCGCCAATATCTAACAGTTGTTTAGAAAAAGTTTCGGCAGATGGATCCTGAAGTATTTTAACGCGCATGTTCACTGTCAGCTGTGCTTTTTTAACATTACGCCACAGTCGCGATGATTTCAAGCAAGCGCTGATTTCATCAGCGTACGTCATACGTGGAATAAAGGGAAGTGTTTGTCTAAAATGCTCGACAAAATTGTTGGCGTTTTTCGTCAATTCCTCTACGTTTGTGGCATTGTTGGTCAATTCCTCTATGTCTGTCGACTATGTATCTGCGCGTTACTCTCCGTTCTAGTTGCCTTTGTTCATTTCATTCATCTCGGGCCTCTTGCGATTGTGATTCACGTAACTGCGCCATGCTCAAACTATCATCAGCAATGTGTTCTTGAATTTGTTCCCCTGAAATCCGTACTCTTATATTTCCCATGGTTCTAGACATGATCCATTGACGACTCAAAGGCATCATCTTCCCGTCCTGATTCCACCCTTCCAAAAAACTAACTTCCCTTCGTAACCTATCAGAATAGAGGCTTACGTAGAAAGCTAAGCATTTTTTTCCGTGATAGTGTTGCATTTGCTTCCCACGTTATAGTGTTTACTGAAACCTGGTTAAAGCCGTACATTTTTAGTTCCGAGGTTTTGGCAGGTCGGTACACAACTTTTAGAAAGGACCGTTCGTCTCGACGTGCAGGAGGGGTTCTAATTGCAGTGGACTCTTACTTCACGTCGGAACACTTCACAGTCCAGGTTCAACAGGAACTGGAATTCCTGTGTATAAAACTGATTCTTCCCGCTTTCGCTATATTCATTACTTGCTCGTATATCCCACCTTCTTCGGATATCTCAATTTATGAGCAGCACTTGTCCGCTTTAACCGATGTTTCTTCCTCGCTATCTGATAAAGATCGTATGATAGTTCTTGGTGACTTCAACTTGCCAGGAACTGTTTGGTCTTCGGTAAACGAGTCTAGTATCCTAGTGCCCATGTCACGACATGACTTTGTTGACGGCTTGCTTGACCTGTCCCTGTCTCAAGTCAACCATGTGAAAAATTCCCTGGGGCGATTGCTTGATCTGTGCTTTCTATCGGATTCGACCTTAGTGTTGTTAACCCAAGCCCTTCCGCCCACTATACCTGAAGACGCCTACCATCCTACTTTCGAAGTGTCGCTAGATATATTACCAACTGTATTGGATCGGTCCAGTAGGCTATTTGAACGCTGCTTTCGTAAAGCCGAGTTTGCGAAGCTTAATAACATCATCAAAGATTTTGATTGGTCCGCTTAGTACTTGTGCACTGATGTTATAAAAGGCACAAACTATTTTTTACAATTCACTTGGCCATTTTTATACCCGATACTTAAAATGAGTATTGGGGTATATTAGGTTTGTGGTGAAAATGGATGTGTGTAACGTCCAGAAGGAATCGTTTCCGACCCCATGAAGGATATATATTCTTGATCAGCATCAATAGCCGAGTCGATTGAGCCGTCTGTCTGTCCGTCCCTATCAGCGCCTAGTGCTCAAAGACTATAAGAGCTAGAGCAACGACATTTCTGAAAATCTGAACCAGATCATTTAATTATTATAACCAGAATCAAGAAAACAATTTCATTCTTTCTCGCTCTGTCTCTCTAACACACAGGTTTCATGGTCGGTTTTGCCAATTGCAAAATGTGAGTTCAAGGATCTCAGAACCTATAAGAACTAGAGCAACCAAATTTGGTATCCCCACTCCTGTGATATCGGACCTTGACCGTTTCGTGTCAAAATTTCGCCACACCCCCTTCCGCACCCGCAAAGGACGAAAATCTGGGGCATCCACAAATTTCAGAGACTATTAAAGCTAGAGTAACTAAATTTGGTATCCACACTCCTGTTAGATCTCACTATAAAACGTATATCTCAACATTTCGCCCCACCCTCTTCCGCCCCTTACAAACGACGAAAATCTGTGGCATCCACAATATTGAAGATTCGAGAAAACTAAAAACGCATCTATCAGATTGCTGAATCTGGATCAGATCATTTTTATAGCAAAAAAAATCAATTTGCAGTGGCTACTGTCTCTCCCGCACGCACACATTGTTGCTCAATGTAGCCATACTGATAACATATGGATGTACATACATATGTATCGGCAAAGACTATACAATACCAAGATGTTGCATGAGGAACAAATACTTTTTCAATTTTCGTTTGACGCTTCATGGTACGGGCGCGCGGGGCTATTACTTCAATTCTCTTTTACGCTAGCTTCGCCTCCGAAATGCTACTCGGCTTCGTCAATGCCTCGGTCAGCGTCGAGTCAGTGTGTCTCGAGAGAAAGAATACAAAAACAAAATATGAATCGTCTGCGTGCCGAAACCGTAGGGCAGCGTGGTCGCTGATGTCTTTGGCGCGGCACAGTGGGGCGGAAATAGTACAAAAAAATTGTATGAGTGCTTTAGATAAATTTAATGTACGCATCTAATAGCGAATTTTCCAATCGAATTTTCAAGATAGTTTTAGTTTAGAAGATATAAGCACTCAAAGTTTAACATTTTTTCAGTGTGCAAATATTTATTGAACTCATATTCACTAACAAATTTAGCAAGCTGAGACGGCCAAAGGTCCCACTGTGCCGCTCCAAAGACATCGGCGATCCGCGACCACCGCTTCGACGGTGCTGAGGCTCGAGAGTCCAGAATTGCCGAACAGACGAAACCGATGGGCAGCGGGGTCGCGGTAGAGACGAAGTACAGGCGAAAAGGGAATTGAAACCCCGCGCGCTCCCTCGTGCCTTTTGGGTTCTAATGTTAGGACCCGCCATAGAACAGCTTTTTGGTCACTCATGCAACATCTTGGTATTTTATAGTCTTTGGTATCGGGTATAAAAGTAGAATTGCAGTCGCAGCAGAAACTCACAACGTTCCCTCGTTTTTATTTTTATTTTACTTGTAACCTACAAATTAATATTTGCTATGCCCTCCTTATTGTGTATAACATTTTTCAACCTACATATTTTGATTCGATTTATCCCATTATTTCCTCCACTCCTCTGTTTTATAATGCTTTAATTTAATATTAGTCAAAAATTCTCGATTCCTTTTAAAGTCAGGCGAATGAGCCCAAGGAGTCATCAGTATCATGGGGACAGTATTAAATTGGACATTTCCGAGTAATTCCCGATGTTGAGGATGGTTCTTTGAGTTAAATCATAAACAATTTTTAATCAAAATTTTTGTAGAATCATTGTTGGAGGTTTTCTTTCAGTGTCGATGGATAACATTGCTCTGTTCATATTTCCATAAAAGAAAATCGAATTCCCAACACCTGCGGCTGATCTACGGGCCTAGGCATGTCCATATCCTTATCCATGCAAAACTCTATCTTGCAGGTTCTTCATTAATTTTTTCTCTCTGTAGTTGGTTTTCTCCAGACATATGCTTTATATCGGATCCACAACCTCGGACTATAATCTTGTTGACCTTTCTTTTGACACTTTTGAAATGAAGAACCTGCAAGATATATGTACATAGTTATGCATGAATGATGACATGGGTATGTTAGGGCGCGTAGGCCAGACGCTGGTGTTGGGAATTTTATTTTCTTTGATGGAAATATGGATAGAGCAACGTTATCTATCGATACTTGAAGAAAATCTCCAACAAAGATTCCGCAAAATTTTGGATAAAAGATAGCTTATGATTTTACCAAAAGAACGATCCTCAACATCAGGTATTACTCGGAACTGTCCAATTTTATACTGTCCCCAATTGACGACTCCATTGACTCAATGCCCGACTCTAAGTACATACATATGTATGTACATATATACATACATATGGGCATATCATTAATATCAGATTCAGCTGTCAACGATCGAAATACAAAAATGATGATTTTTGACATAATGATTGATTTGAATATTACCTGAATATAATCGAATGTACTGAACATTTCGCAAATTGTATAGTTTTTAGCTGCCACATATTTAATTACTTATCATATGTAGTTTGGACTTTGTACAATAGAAGTAATGTGAGGGATGGAAAAGTTTCGATGTCCAACATGTCGGGTATTCATGAAATGGATTTGGCCACACCATACAGTATATAGATGTGCCAGTTCATAACACGAAATCGTCACACACTGGCTAGCGCGTTCAGTACCCCAGAGTACTGACGCGTCATCATGAGAGAGAACGCAGAGAGAATATCTTTTCATGGCTTAGTACACACGCAATATGTTTGCTTTTTTCAGATTTTTTGAACTCTCTCAGGTCTGGTTCTGTTTTGCCACCAGCATGTTTTAGTGTATGGGTGCACATGCATTCTCACGTACTTTGCGTGTGTGTGTTTACTATTGCTGGCCGGTAGAACTGAAATTTGAGTTTGGTTCTTGTTTTGGGTCTTTTGCTGGTCTGACCTACCGCCACAAAATAAATGAAGAATGGGCAGGGGGTGGTGGTATGGTACACTAGGGCGCGGGAAATAAAATAAAAGCTGTTATTTGTTTGATTTATACCAAAAAATATAAAATATTACAATAATATATTTACACATTTATTTCCTTATTTTAAACAGGTTGACTGTAAATTATAAAAATTATGTAAACGCCGTCGGTTCTCGACTATATACAATAAAATAATTGCACATTTATTTCCTTATCTTAAGCAGGTTGATTACAAATTATAAAAATTATGCAAACGCAGCCGGTTTTCGGTTTTTTTGTTTATTATCACTAAAACAATGATGTATCTAAATATACAATATAAGAAAAATTATATATATGTAAGAAGGAGTGGGCCAGCTGGCCTATTGAAGGGGCAGCGGGGAGCAGCAACAGCAGTAATAACAGCAGCAGAGGAACAGCTGATGAGCAGCAACAGCAGTAGTAACAGCAGCAGCAACAGCAGCAGGTGCAAAAAAACTGCGCATTTGACTCTCGGAAGCCGCAAGCAGAGGAAGCGAGACAGCGAGTGGGTGAAAAGAAGAACCGAGAAAAAAGGGTTGTTTCAAGCCGGCTGCCCACAAGAGTATTGCGCAGTAGAATTATAATGGAAAATACAAGTGGACCACCAGCCGGGAATATGCAGCAAAACGAAGGCCCAAGTGGATCAGAAGAAAACAGGATCAATCGCCAGCAAAACGCGAACGAGGAAGCGATGAGGTCAACACTCCTAGAAGAAAACACACAGACGCTCCAACAGCTGGTTCAACTGCTCTCGATGAAAATAAATGCTGATGAAATAGACAAGAAAAATGATGCAAAGCTGGTAGTGGAAAATTTTGCCAAAATTATTCCAGAATTCAACGGAGAAAATATGTCGGTACAGCAGTGGTTTATTAACTTCGAGCTAAACGCTGAAGCATACGGACTAAATGACAAACAAAAATACGTGCAAGCCCGAGCAAAAATGACAGGTACAGCCGCTCTTTTTCTCGAGTCCACAGCAGTGTATGAGTACGGCCAATTGCGTCACCAACTTTTACAAGAGTTTGAGTGTGAGCGTTTATGCAGTGCGCAAATTCACAATCAATTGTCTATGCGAGTGAAGATTTCCGGCGAAAGTTTTCACGAATATATACTACAGATGAAACGCATTGCTGCACGTGGGACAACAGACACGGAGTCGGTGATTCGATACATTGTCGACGGACTGAATTTAAAAACGGATTATAAGTACACCTTGTATGGATGCAGCTCATACAAGCAGCTGCGAGAGAAATACGAAATCTACGAAAGAACGCTCGCGGTTGATGGGGGCTTCGCCCCGAAACAAAAAGACTCACAGCCGTTCGGAAAGAAGTCCAATTTCACCAAATATGAAAGGAAGCAGCACTGCTACAATTGTGGATCCCAGGAGCATCTACGCAAGGATTGCCGAGCTGCATTAAAGTGTTTCCGCTGCAATCAAACTGGACACATGTCTAAGGATTGCCCGAGTGCCGCTGCCGTAAACGTTGCATACGAGGAAAAACGCCTGAAGTCTCTAAAAATTAACGACGTGCAAGTCAAGCGGCTCATAGACACCGGTGCAGATGTTTCCCTATTAAAGATGTCAGTTTTCGGCAAAATGAGTGGTATCCATCTGCAAGCCAGTTCGTCAACTTTGAGGGGACTTGGAAACAACATCACACGCTCCGCTGGGCAATTTACGGCAGAAGTGGAGACCGAAGGAATGCGACTGGCACACAAATTCCTTGTGGTGGCCGATCATGCCGTCGGATGCGAATTGTTGCTTGGACACGACTTTATATCCAAGTTCACAATGACAACAAGGCCAGGAGGATATAAGTTTTCTCCCCTGCCGGGACAAGAAACTGAGGACACCAAACAGATATTATTTACAACGTGGTGGAAGCAAATACTGACATAAACATTCCATCGCAGTTCAGAGATGCCGTCCAATCAATGATTCAGGACTGAAAAGAAGCAGACTGCAGTGTGCCCGATCATGCTGAAGATCGTACCGGACGAGAAAATAGCGCCGTTTTGACGTTCGCCAAGTCGAGTGGCCATCAGCGAAGCCGACGTTGTCAAGCAGCAGATCGATGAATGGGCCAACGCTGGGATAATACGACGCTCATCATCAAATAAAAAAGCCCAGCAGGAGGATACGATGATCAAAGCAGTTTCCGAAATTTTGAAAAGTAAACCATATGACAACTTTAAGTTGAAAGCTGGTCTCGTATACAAAGTGGTGCAAGGCACGGACTTGCTGGCAATACCGAAGTCATTAGAAAAAGAAGTAATAACCGACGCTCACAACGCAGGACACTTTGCCGCTCAAAAAACAATGCATACCGTACAGCAGAGCTATTGGATTCCACATCTGGAAGGAAAAGTAATGCAGATCATAGGAAACTGTATGAAATGTATAATCTACTACAAAAAGATTGGCAAAAAAGAGGGATTTCTGCATCAATTCGACAAAGGATCAAAGCCGCTGTATACTATACACGTGGATCACCTTGGGCCTATGGATGCTACTTCAAAGCAGTACAAGTACATATTCGCAATGGTTGATAGCTTCAGTATGATCATATGGATGTATCCCACAAAAACAATAGGAGAAGACGAAGGGAGTGGTCTGATGTATTTGGTAATCCGGCACGCATAGTAAGCGATCGTGGAGCAGCATTTACATCTTCAAGCTTTGAGGAGTTTGTCAAGGAAAAGAACATCGAACACATATGGAGAACCACAGGGGTACCAAGAGGAAACGGACAAATTGAACGCGTAAGCCGATCTATTCTGAGCATCATTTCCAAATTGTCGTCGGAGGAACCTGGAAGATGGTATAAGTTCGTACCGCAAGTTCAAAGGGCTATTAACAGCACTGTTCACGTGTCTACAAAGCGTTGTCCATTTGAGCTGATGGGCAAAAGATGCGACAAGAGGCAAAAGAAAATATTCAGCAGGCCCAGGACAGATACAAGGAACAGTTCGATAAAAAGCGTAAATGCGAATACGGATACAAGGTCGGAGATCTCGTAGCCATACGTAGAACACAATTTGTAACCGGAAGAAAGATGGCCAGCGAATTCTTAGGACCATACGAAATAACCAACGTGAAACGAGGCGGACGCTATAATGTTCGGAAGGCAGCAGACGTCGAAGGACCAAGCAACACGACCACAAGCAATGATAACATGAAACTATGGAGCTTTTATGTAGAAAACGAGGACGCATTGTCATCAGGGACTGATGACTAATCAGGATGACCGAGTGTAAGAAGGAGTGGGCCAGCTGGCCTATTGAAGGGGCAGCGGGGAGCAGCAACAGCAGTAATAACAGCAGCAGAGGAACAGCTGATGAGCAGCAACAGCAGCAGCAACAGCAGCAGCAACAGCAGTAGTATCAGTATCAGATCAACAGCAGACAGAGAAGAAGAGGAACAGAGCGAAGCAGTGAAAAGGAGAGAACAGCCGCATACGGACGCGACTCAAGCAGCAGCAGAAAATCAGCAGAAATAAGCCGTAACATTAAGAACTTTTGTAAGCACACATACCAGGCCACCGCGATAATAATACGAATAAACAATACTCTAAATAATATCTTACATATATACTTAAATAAATATGCATAAATATAAATGGAATTGGTTTTACATATATTTGTGGAAAGAAAAAATTCAGATGCCGGTCGCACCTTGAATACTCTCATGGAGTATATAATATAAAGTCTGTGTTTTCATGATAAGAGGCCTACTGGAAATACGTTTTAAGCTATACTGTAACTGCAAACGGTATAAAACACGAAGCCATTTTAACTAAAGTGACAGCTAATATTGAATAAGTACAAGCCACGAGCAGCTATTTGCGACGAGGGCTCAAATAATAGAGCTGTTTTCAGAAGACTGTGAGTCGACATTAAGAACCTCTACGATAAAAACCCATTTAGTTCGCCAAACTTCACTTAAATAAGCCAGATTCTTTTTGGGAGAATGTTATATTTATATTCGGACATGATGGACGATCCAAAGTATGGAGAAAGGAGAATCAAGCCATGAAAGAGAAAAACCTCATTCCAACAGTGAAGCATGGCGATGGAAATGTAATGGTTTGGGGGTGTATAGCAGCAGCTGGACCTGGGCAAATGGTGTTTATTGAGACCAAGATGGATAAACACATCTACAAGAAAATTTTGAATGACAATTTATGCCGAGTGTTGAAAAATTGGGTCTTGAAGCGAAGAATTTCATGTTTCAACAAGACAATGACCACAAACATACCTCGTATTTGGTTCAAGAATGGCTGTTGTATCAGTGCAAGCAGTTAAAAACGCCGCCGCAGTCACCAGATCTGATCCCCATAAAGCATGTTTGGGATTTTCTAGAAAAAAAAATTGAGAAACATAAAATTTCCTCCAAGGAAACCCTTAAAACGGTTCTGATGACGGAATGGGAGAAAATTAATCCAAATGAAACCAATCATTTGGTAAAAAGTATTCCCCGACGTCTAAAAGCTGTTATTGAAGCTAAGGGCGGCCCCACCAAATA